AGTAGCTGAGCGGACCCAGTGTCAGGCAGGATAGAACCGGCGAGACTGACTCGCTCTGGAAGATCCTCGCTTGATCTTAACTTGGCAAACTTTGTTGCATAGCAGTGTTGCTCGCCACTGTTTCGAAGAACTCAATTACCCTATCGTTTAAGTTGTTAAACTTCAGACATTACAGCACTCAGTTGTCCTCCTAATGTCGATCTAGGCCATGTTAGTCTTTCTCATGCAATTCCAGTGTTGTTCCTTGCCCATCAGTGACCGGTTTTTAGGTCCCTTGGTAAGCATGTTTCTTCAGGAAGTATGACGTCGTTCGCCTCACGATACTCGAATACTGTATTGGATGATAGCACGAGTTTCTAAGGTGGCTGCAAGCCACGTGGTCGTTAATTACATGTCAAGCTGTGTCACTCCTTTCGTTCACCGACAGGAATCAGGCGGCCCTTTTTCGAGCACTTTCTGCGAGAATAATACCGTCATTCATGAGGGCAAAGACTTCAGCTCTTTAATCTACAACGCGCGCACCTGATCCGGGTTCGGTACTGCCAGGGTTTGATAATTCTGGTCACCTCGCGACATTCTTTTTGACGATTGTGACCTTTTGAGATCCCATTTGCATATTTTTGTATTTCTCTTGTTCAGTTAGCTTTTCGTTTGTGAGCTCTGTCTTCTGCGTTAAGACCATCGGTCTGTACATTACCTACGGGTTTGTTCTTTGCCTCCACTTTTGCATAGAAGACTTTAGCCATTTGAACCCAGCTTCTGCTCTGTTTATTCCTCCAAAACTTTTTCTGGAATGTCCGAAGCTATGCCGATAAAGCTAACAGCAATACGGTCGTCACGTATAGCTTTAATTGTTTTGTCTGGTCAAATCCTGTACTTTTTCACAATATTCGTCGTTGATTGATTGATTGATTGATGATGCCGCTGGTCAGCTATTGTAGCTGGGTGATTTATCTACGTGTTTCCTCCTGTTTGTTTTTGATTCTTCTCAACTATGGAGATTGTTCTCTTCTTCTCCGATTTGCTTCCAGCTCAGCGGAAAGTTTATTCGTTGTCATACAAGCTGTAACTTATATTACATTATTAGTTGATTCCAAATTAATTGTTGACAGGACACTGTTAGGTTGACTTTATACTCATGCATCTGTTTTTTGCCTCCGATAGGTGGGGTATGTGTTCTGCGTTCTTCAAGCCGTTCAAATTCCTAAATGATCGAAGGGGGTGCCGAAGCGAATTTTCTTTATCGTTCAGCCGGATAGCTTCGTCACATCAGCCATTTCGGTCTCTGGTCTCAACGCGTGCAATGATTTCACTAATGTGTTGAGTTGGTTGATTCTCATGCACGGTTGTGTCACAAGCGAGTACTCTTTTTACCTCACCCAGCTCAAATTCTGTAGCAAGCTTGTTTTCCACTTGCGGCTCGCTATATGTTGCTCGATTGCATCAATTGGGGGGGGTCGACTTTCCTCCATTCTTCCAACATTCTTTGTATTTCGATAATCCAGATCCCGCTTCATTAAAACCCTGTTTTCATCCTTCGACTAGTGCTTGCGCGCTCATCTTCACTCTATCGCTTCTCCAGGCGCAGAAATATGCGAAGCAGGTGCTGTTCGCTCACTTATCACAGATTGCCTCAGTTCCGAAGCAGCATGCACGCCCCTCGGTAACGCTGGCATGGACCAAACCGGCATGGGACCGTTTCATTTTCTTTGTGATGCACCATAATGGATAGGCGGATGATCGCACATACTCTGTCTTCTCGCAGCGAACCTGGTGAAGCTTCTGTTGGCATAGCTTCGACGGCCACTGAGGTACGCAAGACTGTTGCTACTTCCAGGCTGCAATGTCCATTTATGTTACAAGTATTGCTACGATTTTTGCTGTTTTCTGGTAATTTAAGGGTTACCGAAGTATTTTAGGCGAAATGTGGACAATGTTGAGCTACTCAGCGAAATGGCTAAAATTACTGAGATAATTTCTGAGCCACTATGCTTCAAGCTATGCTAACCCGAAGGTGATACACGGGGCGCAACTTGTTAGCAGATCACCAATCACCAGGCGACACGGTGACAGCGCTACGGAGCGAGCTGCCCCCAGCATCATGTCTGTCGCCTTCGTATCAGTGCCTGTCGATTTGTCGTGTTTGTACTCACACTTTAAACCGGCGCTTGAAGCAAGCCGTAGTCGAAGGCTAAAGGTTAACAAGCGCCAGCTGAAGGCAAACCGACCGACAAGCGTGTTAGCCGAGCGGAACAGACGTTTGTAAAGAACGAGTTAGGTGCGCTGCAGGCCCGCTTTGTGACTCACTACGATCATGGGCCTGCTGTAAAACGATTTTTGGTCGTAAGAATTATTTAGGCCGTAAAAATCAATGACCAAGGTACAATCGTACAACACATCTACCGTAATTAAGTGTACGTGGTTGAAGAATTGTTTACGATCGGCAAAGCCGACCGACTGGACGTTGTTGTGTTGAATCGCATGAGAATGAGGAAGAGAAGTTTAGAGAACCGGCCGTTTTGTCGTTGAGGTCTGTCTGCGGGTGTCGACACGACGACCGACGAACGACGACCAAACAAACGGACGGGCGAGTGTAAGTCGCACAGGCCTGGTTTAAAGTGCGGTGGCGGTGGCAGCGGCGGCGGCGGCGGCAGCGGCAGCGACAGCGACAGCGACAGTGGTAGCAGAGTCCGAAGAGGTAGCGTGCATGGTCGAGTTTAATAGACTTTCCTACTACCGCAGAGATACTGGCCTGGCCAAATAGCACCGGCTTGTGACATGTTGCCAGATAAGTAGTAAAACAACGAACGACACGGTGATCGATGGGCGGGACTAAGTGAACTATGATGAATATATCACGTGGTTGGGCTGTCGGACGGTCAGTCAGTATCTATTGGAAGTTTGAGCTATGTGCAAGTTTATATTCAGCTTGCGACGTATTTCGCACCTCACTGCCGGAGTAAGACTTCGCTGATCGACCGACCGACCGACCCCCGTGCAACATACGGTGAAACCGCAGCCGCCCCTGGTGGTACCCGCGAGAGAAAGCTAGCGAGGCAGTGCAGTGAGTCAAGAAGCGAGCGAAGCAGAGACGACGACTGGCAGGAGGGCAGAGGTCGAGACATTTCGTTTCAACCAGTTGGCCGCCGCCTGTCCTCAGGTCACACAAAAACACCAGCACAGTAATAAACGACAGGTGGTTCCGTCAGCTGATTATTTGCCGGAGTACCAGTTGACGTGTGATCGCGCCGCAGATGAGATTCGTTAGTCAATTCGTATTACTGCTAACTGTGTGCTGGATGAACGACCGATGGAGGAGTCGACTGGTGGAAAACGTGTCGAGGCGGCACGTGGGTTTTTTTGCCGATGCCTGGACGGAGCCGGGTCGCACAAGCGATGATGACAGCCGCCGGGTCCAACCGCAGCTGGATAGTGGCCAGTCGTCGTTGGAGTCAAACGACATGGCGCGGGATGATCCGGTGGCTTCTGCCGTTTCCTACCTCTCGTCGTCGTCGTCGTCGAAGCTGAGGCACCAGCACTCGTTGAGCCACATGCGCCAACTGCTACTCAGCTCGTCGACGAACAAGATCATAGATTTCGAGCACGGTCGTTTCATGAACGCCGAAGATCAGCTCCTGTACGGCTGGTCGACGGGCCCGGCTCCCAACGAGACGATCGCCAACTACGTCAGTCGCAACTGCAGCAGTTGCCTGTTGCGGGAGGAGGCGAAGCTGGCTCGCATCGAACGGGTTAAAGCCGACCTGTTGTCCAAACTGGGCATGAAGAGGCCCCCGAATGCGACCGCCGTCCATCTGCCACCGTTCATACCACATCTGAACGGGCTTTTGGCCAAGTGGGGTTTCAACGCGGCCGGAGACCCGCTGATGGCCGGTGACGCCCCGTACGCCCCGCGCCTTGACCTGATGGCCGACGACGACGACAGTGCCAAGACTGAACAGATCTATTCGCTAGCCATTCCGCGTAAGTGATCATGTTTTGTGTTTGTTTGCATGGTTTTTTGTTTTTGTTTTCTTCGTAACGGCGTCGTTGCCGCTCGGACGGTCCAGTGTTGCGAAATTTCGTTGCTGGCCTCAGCTTCAGAAGCATAACTCAATGCTGATACACGCTAAAAACGGTCATAAAACTCGAAGCATTGCACGAAGTAGTGTTTATTTAAAAAGCGCTCACTGCCGAGTAGCGCCAACTCGTAAATCATCGGCGGTGTGGCTGAACAAAGAAGATAATGCTATCTGGTTCTCGGTCATTTGCTTGGTGTCATCAAGAGACGAGTCGGGTGCTCACCTTCAGCTTCCGGCCAGCAGAGCATCAATCTTTCGTTGAATTGCAATGCTCGTACCTCTCTCTGTTGCGAAGTCCAATTTGTCGTTTCTGCCATTCCGTCTAACGGTCTGAATATCGGCCTGAACCAGGCAAAAACATATCACGACCCTGAAGTGTATGTTAAGCGAGATGGAACAACACATTGACAAGTGCAAAATTCGTTTCCCTTCGGTACTACCACCAGCCGGATCTAATTCTAGCGAATTTCGCATTGAAAAACAGCATAAAATATGGCTCATTAATGCACAACGCAAAAACTAACAATATTCTGTTGTATTAATTAAACCGGGTTTAATGCTGATTTTCAAGTATAGAACATATCTGAATTCCGTTAGCTAATAATGGACTTCTAAGCTTCACAAACCAAAAATTTTACATTTATAGATTAACGAGATATAGAACGTATATTATCGTCATTACCTGTTTTTTCAAGGTATCTTCCCATTAACTTGGATCTTGTCTTGCAGGAATTATTCTTTATTTCACATGCTAGACCCTATGAACGGCTCATGATGTTCCCATTGACTTCACATAATTCAGAGAAATTAGGTTGCTAAAGGAAATACATGTCTGACTGTCGTCTTGCGGTAAAATGGTAATTCGTCTATAGCAGGCATACCGGTATCGATTGAAACTTATTTGAGGATCAGTCCAAGCTAGTTATACCTGGATCTTATTGGGTTATCATTTGGCTGACCCCATCCCCACACTTGTGCCTATGCCTTGCTCACGTGTTTAAATTTGCGGCTCTACATTGCCGCTTTGAAATGAACAACATATTGGTTTTGGTTCATACCGGATTGGGCGGAATGTCACTCCACGCTAACATAAATGCAAGGCATAATCTGAGCAAAATTGTCATGTCATGTCATTAACGGATTGCTTTAGCTTCTAGGCACGTTTGTTCAACTTCTTTCCACCAGATGAGTGTTCAATACACTTTCCGCTCGTGAAGTATCATGATGTATCAATTCACAGGACAGATTACGCATACTTTTGTTATATTATTTTTGAGAGGTAGTGGACGTCAATACACACGACACGATTTGACATTTCTTTCCTCAGCAGTCATCAGAATATTTTCTCATCAACATACACAACCTACAGAATATGAGGAGCATCCATCGCCTTTGCCTCATTCATCAGTGTTTAACAATACAGGTAATGGT